AATGTTTCGCAAAAATGTGTTAAATTAATTTGATTACAATTTTAGTCAAATATTATCATCCCATTGGTACACATTATTATTATTTTTTCATAATAAATATCAATACCATTCATGTGAGAAATCAATTGATAGTATTTTATTTAAGTTTACGACTCATAAGTTACAAAATTTTTACTAACAGCGCTACCGTAATCACAAAAATCATATAAAAGTAAACTAACAATTATTCCGGATAGTTTTCTCAATCCTTTTATACCGGTAAAACCTTTTCTCGACATTTACTATATCATATACCCGAGTAAACATAATTAACAGGGAAACATTTAATAAATTCAATGATATTGCAGTTTTATTTAGACATAAAAATATTTTTATCACACAATTATTGCGGCACTTAATTAAATATAGCTATAAATACTGTGCACATGAAATAAGTTTATAGCAAATCGATGGCAGCCCTAACCCCAGCCCACGCCTCCTCGGAGGCCGGTTTGATCTGCGCGACCGGTAATACAAAGCCGTTGGGCGCGTAGGGATCGGGCCGTAGCTCCAGTCGCTTCCGTTAGGATCGCGGGTTGAGCAGCATGTGATATACAATCCTTTTATATTATGTAAAACGATAAATTATCAAATTTTGATTAATATCAGATACTTATGTTTGGGGTTAGCTACGAGCTTGGCGACGCTAAGTCTAGTAATATAAGACATATGTTTATAATTACCTGTAATAGTATACATACAGTACAGGGAACTTTAGAAACTTACAGATAACATCGGCGATATTTCCTTTTTTAAACTGTAGTGAATGTGTCGCCTGAATAGCCTTAACAGCGGCTGCCGACAGCTTCTCCTAATATATGAAATACTATGAATTAATTGCTACTTAATTATGCACTCAATTGTCTACCAATTCGTTGACATTTGCCGGCAGCGCGTGTTTATAGCCGTACGGATACATCCAGTACTGCGAGTAGCTATGAAACGCGAAATACGCGGCTATTCTGCCCTTACGAGTGGCCACCAGTTCCGACCATTGCTTGACCTCCACTTCCGAGAAGGGATCGGGACCGCAATACTGGTCGGAGCAGGGGTTGGTGGTGGCACCCTCCTCACACCACGCCGTGTCCCAACTATACAGGCATTGGGTTATCAATAAATTCTGTATATTCTGGAGGAGTGCCTTACTTTCTGTTAGGATCGGTGCCGTAACACCCGGTGCGCGAATCAAGGGATCGGGTTTTTCGCCATTTCCTGTCCGTTTCCCACGTATACACATAACTGGAATGAGTAAGGGGTCTGGGTTAATTATGATAAAATATATATTAGTGATCACTTTAGTTGTGATTACCCGTCAACGTTGAGCGCAGGGACAATTATAAACTCATATTTTTCCAGATATTTATCGTTCGCACTATCGGTTAGCAATTGGTTTATCATATATAGACAGGCGGCGGTTGATACCCATTCCCTCGCGTGAATACCTGTTTAATGACCAAGTTTAGTAAACATGAATAAACCAAAATCATTAATATTATTAGTATTAATTTAATACACTAGTAACTATAGGTCTTAATTAAACAACTCTTACCGCACTCAAGGAATATGGTTTGCTTAGCACCACCACCCGGGTTAGTAAGAACAATAGCCGGTATGTCCCTCGACTCGTAACTTTTGCCAACACTTTTATACGTAACCTTGTCACCTTGGTTAATTGCAAGCTCATATTACAAAATACATTTATTGTAATAAGTAATAAATATCACAAACTTTGTTCCGAGAGCTCATTCAACAGACTCTTGATCTCACTGTACGTGTGATATTTGGTCTCGAAGTCGAAATTCTTTGCGTCCGAAAAGTGGTGATAATTCTCACGCCTCTCGCCGTCGATTACTTCCTGAAAGCTATTGGCAGTGATTTCGTACCGTATATGAGAGGTGTTTAAAGTGCGCAAAAACTGGTTGCCCTCCGGACCCACCAGTGATAGGACTGGCCGTAAATCGCGTGTCGGCTCATTCCAGTACTCGACACTGTGCTGGATAATTATTTTCAAGTTAGCTTGATAATGCTGTTTTAATTAGTTGATTATATTTACCTGGTAAGTTTGTTCAAAAGTTTTTAAAAGTTTCAAATCGTGGCTACTTTTAGGCCATATTCTGATGATTTTATGGCGACTATAGTCGACGGGTTTATTGTTTATAATTGCCGACAAACTTATTTGAATGAATGCTAAACACAAAAGTGTCTTGAGCAACATTTTCATTAATTAATAACAGGTAATTAGCACACACCTCGCTATTTATTAGATTTCTATAGTAATGCTCTGTGCTAATAATCAGTACATTTGTACATTTAATGATTAACAACGGGTGGACCTGTCTTAAGGATTTATATTAAATCTCATTCTCATGTTTTAAATGTTTACTATAAAACTTAGTAATTGTTAGTATTTCTCAGAACGACTTAATAGTGATATTAATTGATCTAGATGATTAGTGCCCCATATCATTACTTTTTGCTTTTTAAATAAATTATTACTGTAAATACTGTATTACTCTAATCTATTAGACATCCTGTGTGGGGTACAATAAACCTTTACTTTGAAACAATTTNAGATTTCTATAGTAATGCTCTGTACTAATAATCAGTACATTTGTACATTTAATGATTAACAACGGGTGGACCTGTCTTAAGGATTTATATTAAATCTCATTCTCATGTTTTAAATGTTTACTATAAAACTTAGTAATTGTTAGTATTTCTCAGAACGACTTAATAGTGATATTAATTGATCTAGATGATTAGTGCCCCATATCATTACTTTTTGCTTTTTAAATAAATTATTACTGTATTACTCTAATCTATTAGACATCCTATGTGGGGTACAATAAACCTTTACTTTGAAACAATTTAATAAATTATAATGGACATTTATTTCATTTCATGAAATCACAGTTTTTGATAAAACACAAATCCTACAAATATAATACAGTTATAGTATAAACTTAAACTCTTTGTTAAACTTTTGTAAATATATTAAACTTAAGATTAAGACATTTTGAAAACAAGAATCCGGAACACAATTATTAAAAACATTTGTAAATATTTGTAATTATAAATTTTTCAGAATTGTAGACATTTAGGTGGTCATTATCACTAAACTGATTTTTTGGCATTTTAGATATTGTACTATTTTACGTATAATACAGTATTATACCATTGATTTTGCTTTTTATGATCATTGTATCATGTATGACTAAAATATTTGGTAATTAACTAATTCATACCCATGCATAGTCTTTAATAAGTTGCAGTGTTATAATGGAAATTTCCGTGTTTTACTTAACACGGTTGATAAAAAGCTTAACAAATATAAGTTTTACAGAATAATACAGAATCACTTAACATTACCTGGAAAATTGTAAAAATACAGTAATAAAATATTTTTGTAACAAATAATATAATTTACAAAATAATATTTTTATAAATAAGTTAATAAATTATAAGAATCTTAGTGTATATAGTGTTTATAAATATTTATTTTTATATTCTTTAATTTAATATACAGTAGTTAAACTATACTGCTAAAATTTTTACATTAATTTGTAAAAACAAATTGTAATATCAAAAATATTTTATTTAATTGCGTAAGCTTTCAAAATTACCGACAAAAAATAAATACAAATTTTAATAATTAAATAATAATCTGTTTATTCAAATAAATCCCAACAATTGTAAACAATTTATAATCAATACAGTAGTCGCTTAGGCTGGCAGGCCATCGATGACCGCCTTAATACCAGCCCACGTCTCCTTAGAGGCGGGTAGTATCTGATCGGCCGGCAGTACAAACCCGTAGGCACCCTTATCCCGGAGCTCCAGTGCAAAGGCTATGGTCACGCCCTCCTTATCGTAAGCTAATTATCGTTGAAATTAAAATTTAGTAAAATTCTACAATATTTTAAGCGACATGTATACACACACCCCAATCAATACTTGAGCCTGATGCTATATCTAATTAATAAATTATGTAGAATTAATAGTGCGCATTAAAATAAAGTTTTTAAGCAAGCATACAAATAGTGTTGGCAATAGTTCCCTTGGTGAATGTGAGACCATTAACCGCTTTAATAGCATTAACGCCTAAAGCCGACAAATCGTCCTATTTTTAAACAAATTGCTAATTAATTAATTTTGATCAAGCTACTATATATATATATTACCAATTGTTTGGCGTTGGATGGGCTGGCAGTTTTATAGCCCCAGGGATACATCCATAGCTGACTATAGCTATGCACCGAGAAATAGGCGGCGACATTACCGCGCTTAGCCGTCACCAAAGCGGCCATATTTTTGGCCTCAATCTCGGAAAAGGCTGCCGTTCCGCAGTAGGTGTCACTGCACGGGCTACTGGACGCACCAGCCGAGCACCACGAGGCGTCCCAACTGTGTCAGGGTGATTTAGTGAGTGCTTAATCTCAATTAAATTAGCTAGGCGTATTGTTAATTAATATACTTTCGATTAGGATCGGCGCCATAGCACAGGCCGTTTTGGGACCTAGTTTTACGCCAGTTCCTGTTCGAGGTGTGCGTATAGACGTAACTATATAATCAAGTAAATTGTTTAGTAAATAGGCTGTTCATGGTATACACTGTTTTTTGCTATAATACCCGTCCGAGTTAAGCGTAGGCACTATAATGATTTCGTATTTGTTCAAAATGGTGTCGTAATCTGTTTTGGTGATCAACTCGTTGGCGATCCACAGACAGGCCGCTGTTGTCACCCATTCTCGGGCGTGAATTCCTAACAATATTACACATAATTAGCCAAAGAATTAGACATAAAATACTAAATAAATACCGCATTCAAGAAATATAGCCTTTTTGCCGCTTCCGCCCGGGTTGGTGATGGTGATAGACGGTATGTCTCGCTTCTGGTAGGTCTGACCAATGCTGGCGTACTTGGCTTTCGGGCCTTGAGTTTAGTGACAAAACAAAAAGTTTGAAAAAACATTTTGCGAAGTTTACAGACATATTAAGCAACGAAACTGGATATGGATGTGAGCTCAGCGACAATCTCTTCGTAGGTATGGTACGTCTTCTCGTAATCAAAGCCGGCTCTACTGTACAGCCGGTGGGCCCTCATCTCCGCCCTCTCGTTGTCGATCACCTTCTGGAAGCTGTTGGCCACCACTTCGTACGGTATGCGGGAGGCGTTCAACGACCTCAAGAACTGGTAGCCGCTGTCCGGGCCCACCAGCGTCA